TTTACATTTATATTTTTTTATATATTCATATATGTAGGCATTGACATATATAAGATATCACAAAAGTAATATGTGAAATCTTTTGCAACAATATAATACTGGTAACAATGAGAAGTTAATTATTCATAATTAATTAGTTGGTCATAATGCAGATATTTAGTGTTATATTTTTGTGTGTATACTGTTGGAACAACTTTCTGTATAAATAAAATAACTTGAAATAAATTCAAACAAAATAAATAAATAACATACCGGATTTATGTATCGAACCGAATTAAAATTAAGACCAAGTCGAGTATGTGACACTCTGTCCTTAAGAGAGATTCGCCCCGCTACGGTGCTTACAGTTGAGTGGCGTCTATCTCCCAAGATACAATGATCTTAAAAAACTTGTAGTAGCACTCCACACAAATTTTTACGGCGAACCAAACCTTGTGTTCTATACTCTCTTAATATTATTCTAAAACTAATAAATGAAGAATAAATGTAGTAGAGCAAATGGACAGCAAAGAGGCCAAATTCAGACTGATTTTTTGGATCTATAGACTGCTGGAATTATGGCTATTTTTATAAGAAAAAATCACAGTCCCCAACAGGTGCAATTTAGAGCATGAACAGGTGCAAAACTGTGTCAACAGACATTGTTTTGAAATTCAAACGGATCTGGACAGATATACCAACTGTAGGAGTTATATAACTGTTGCTGAAACTGCCTGGGCAATTTTTCCACATATGAATCTGTCCGAAATATATAACAGCTTGAAATTTGTTTAACCTTAGTTTTGAATATGTTCATAACTGCCTAACAAATATGCAGCTGTTATGAACAGATGCAGTTAGAAAACCTGGACAGATTTGAATTTGTCTGTGTTCAAACAGATTTGAAATGTAAGAACTGTTTAATCTGTCAGGAATAAAATGGACCGGAAATGGATAAAATTTTGCCCAAAAAATTAATAAAAGAACGGACCCATACCCGCGCCGGCTCGGCCGGACGGCGGCGGTGTGCGCGCGTGTGTAGTGGTTTGGGTTAAGGTACACTTTATCCATTACTCTTCCCTTCTACAAACTTGGGGTGCCCCTTGGGGCCCAACCCAAGTGTTGTAGGCTAGAGTTTATATACTCAACAAAACTTTCTTAAAATTTCAATGTGGGACAAGCCTCACAAGGAAACCCACTTGAAAACTTTAAATGTCCATTTCACGAACCCGAAAACGACGTCATGTTCCCATTCACTCATAAATGGTTTTAACGAACCGTCTTCACCGTGTGACTTGCAATGCGGGAAGGAACACTTCACCTCTTCGGACCTGCCCCAAAAGACGTTCGGGGCCCACTCAATTTTTGGGCTCAAAGTCGGCCCAAAATAAGCCTTATAATTCACCATTTTTCCAACATATACACTATTTTTTAATTAGATTATTAAATTCACATAAAAATTGAAAGGAATTTGTGAATGATTTGTTTAAAATTAGAGATTAGTCAAGAAAGATTTTTAAAAAAAGAGAATTTATAACGATTGGTTTGATTTGTTTTGTTTTTTCAAACTTTTATTTTGAATTTTTTTGTTTTTTTTGTCTTTGACACTGTTTTTTTTAATAACCCTCTTATTTTCTTTTTAAATTCACTCAATTTAATTTTTTTTTTATTTTACTTTTAGACTTAGATTCACTTAATTTAAATACATTTAGAAAATAATTTGTTATGTATTCTGTTTAGATTAAAAAAAAATAATAATAAATTTATTCATAGTGATTTGATTCATGATGGACGATTATAAATATTATGTATATCAGTATAGAAGTAGACACAGAAAATAAGAAAGAGTAATTATTTTTTTCTCTTCAATCATCATCAATGTAAAAAATAGAGAGATTACCTTTTTCTTTTTTTGATAAGAATGAAGACCGTTTATTTATATTTATATAGGACTCCTGAAAGCAAATATATCATTTTTTAGTATTCAAGTCTAAAAATAAAGGCATAATTGGTTTATATAGGACTTTTCATGACTTTTAAAAAATATAATAAATTTAAAAGAGTAAAATTGAGATTTAAAAAAATAAAATAAAAAATATATCAGACTTTTCACACTTTATAATAATAATAGATAGTAGATATAAGTGTATGATGTTAAAACAAATATGCCGAGTACACAGCTAAAGTTTATTTGTCATTTTTTTTTTAACAATAATTTGGTGCATTCTTTCTATGGTTGTGTAGTCAATGAAAAATTGAGTGCGAATAAGAATAAGGAAAAATTTTAAATTCAGTGAGAAATTTTATAAATATTGAGAGGGTAATTTGTGTAGATAAATTAGACCGAGCTAGATAAGATTATCTTTGGAGGTTGGGCCGCATAATGGGTCGGTTTGAGAGCTGGGATAGCTCAGTCTTGGGTTAAGTAGACACTAGGTCGGTCGGAGATAGGTTGCTAGAGCCTGGATCTAGCTACTTGAAGGTAGTCCATTAGCGGACCGAAATGTCTTCAATAAAGAGGGCTGAGCTATGTGGCTAACACGACTCTGTCAAAGAAAGCACAGAGCCGTGATGGCTCTGTTGACCGCAACGATAGTCGAGCAAAGAGTTTGACCCATCTCGCTTGATTGGCAATGAGAAGGGTTTTATAAGGATAAGCATTATCCTTTAGGAATGTGACTCCTACAAGGACTTTGCTAAGGAGAGATAGAGTCCTACTAGAATTATGCCACGCGGAATCTATAAAAACTCATACAGAACCTATTCCTAGGTATTGCAATTCTTACTCTCGAATACACAGAGTTTTAGTATCTTTTGTCAACTTATTGACTTTGGCATCGGAGGGGTTTTCGATACACACCCATCGGCTAACTCACATTTGTGTTTTTAGGTGATAAGACGACGACATTTGGAGAAATGCAAACTTGATCAATAAGATTATACGAGAAGAATTATTTCGTACTCGTACAAATATTAATATAATTTATTATATTTTATATTTTTAAATTATCATTAAATTGTTTATTTAATTCTTGAACTATTGATTGTGTCTACTATATCCCTAAAGTATACAAATCAAAAAGTCTATTTAGTCCCTAAACTATCGATTGAATTCATTAAATCCCCAAAATATTCAATTCAAACTTATTTAGTCCCTAAAATGATTGCAAAAATAAAATACAAGCTTATAAATATTATAAATCAATCAAAAATCATATCTAGTTAAAATTTTATTTCAAAAAGGCCTTAAATTTTTATCATGTCTTTCAAAAGTGGGCGCCAATCCATATATTAAATTTCCTTTATAAGGATAAGGGTAATTATCTATAGTATTTTCTTACTAATCTTCTACCATGGATATATGCTTGCCTTTATCTAGCATTATTTGCCATATTTCATCTATAATTTTTAATTGATTGTTTTTAAATTTTTCGCTAAATTCTTTTTATTACTTAATTAACGTATTATTTTATTCTATTATTATTTGTAGAGAAGTGTTATTATTTAAATTATCTAATTTTACATTTTCAATATATCTAATATTCATATAATTTGTTGGCAAGATTGAAAAATTAGACTCTAATATTAATTTAAACACACGACGAAATAAAATACCTTTTAAAGACAATAAAAATTTAAAAGATTTTTCGGCAATAAAATCTTAATTAGGGATGATCTTTTACTAATTTATAATATGTATGGGTATTTATTTTATTTTTGTAATCCTTTTAGGGGCTAAATATATTTGAATTAAATATTTTAGAGATTTAATAGATTCAGTTAATAGTTTAAAGACTAAATAGATTTTGATTTATATATTTTATGGACTAACTAGATTTGATTGATAATTCAGAGACTGAATAGATAATTTGAGGATTGTTTAAAGGTAGAGAGTGTAATAAACCCATATTAATAATTGAATTCTTAAATTTTTTCATCAACTTTTAGTAATATTTTTGTGAAAATGCCACTGACTAATAATTTTCTCTAAAAATAAAGACTAATAACATAATAACCCTAAACCCCAACAATATATAAATAAATAAAGATATATATATATATATAGGGAGAGAGAGAGAGAGAAAATACATACACAATAATATAACATATTTTGAAGCCTATAATCATAGAATGATTTTAATATCAAATTTATCACTAAAGAATATGAATGATTTCATATGAAATTTAATATAAAATAAAAAAAATTATTGGGTTTTTAAAATTTCAAAAATAGTTTTTAAATGATTTTAATATCAAATTTATCACTAAGCCTCCGTTTGGGAAGTGGGTTGGCTTTTTGGCTTTTTTGGCTATTTTAGCGTGGGCTAAAAAGCTTGGTTTCTGAAGGGCTTTTTGGCTTTTTGGCTTTTTTTTGTGAGAGAAGAGTGTAATGATTATGGGTTGGATGTGATGTTTTGTTTGTTGTGGCTAAAATAGATATTTAGTAAAAATATAGTTGCCTATAGCATTTTAATAATAAAAAAATTATGAATTTTTTAAAAAAAAATCACTCAATATTAAAAATACAGAAATTTCATACACTTTCTTATTTTTTTATTAGTTGAATTCTGTAAATAATTTTCACAAAGATTTTTACTTTCTAAATATATCTACATTAGATGCATTTAAAAAATTAAACCTCAGTTTTTCATTGAAAAAATAAAAAAATAAAAAAATAATCCTCCATTTGAAATTTCCACGTGTCAGATAGAGACCCACCAAATGCGGGAGCTCGGTAAAAATAAATATCTCCAAACGGAAAATTATTCAATACTCCCGGAGTACCACGTGTCCATACTCCAAACCAATCACTAATTAGTTAGTCCCATGTGTCTTCCATTTTCAACATAAATCGTAGACCCTTGTGTCTCTCTACCAATTAAAACCTTATGGAACACCACGTGTCCATACTCCAGGATCCAGAAGTACTGAATAATCACCCATCCAAACAGCCTTGCTCCTCTCCTTCCCAATTAATATTTAAAAATCAAATCAAATTAATTATTCATGAACTATGAGCACCCTATAAAGAACCCCAATACCAGTAAATAGTTTCAGTCTCTACTCCCTTTCAAGCTCTCAATCATTTTCCTCTTATTTCTAAGATTTTCTCGAGAAAATACCTGAGAAAAAAAAGAAGAAGAAGAAGCAAGGAGTAGAAGCTTCACTTCCCACCACAGTTCTGTTTGATTCCAGAAATTTATTCCCTTTCCTTTTCCCGGCAAAAGGTTTGGTGCTCCTCCTCCTCACCCACAATTTCCCTCTCTTTTTCTCAGCAACTTTCCTAGAAAACTTCACTTTTTCTTTCACTCTCTCTCTCTCTCTCTCTCTCTCTCTCTCTCAGACTCACGCATGCCTGTGGATTTTACACCTTCTCAGCTAATCTCTCGATCGGCGAAGAGAGTGTGTTTCAATTTTTATCTCTCTACTTTTTCTTCTCTCTCTCTGTCTCTCTGTCTCTCTCTCTCTTCATTTTCTGCAACTTTCCTCAACATTTCTCCTCCTCAAACACACTTTTCTCTCTCTAAAACCTCTCTTTATTCTCTTCAAGTCAAATCTTCAACGAATCTTTTCTGTTTCTACAACCACTATTTCACGCTCTTATTCTCTGTGCCTTTCAATGCGAATCTGAGAAATCTGTAGAGATATGGATCGAAGCATAGTGAAGTACAGTGAACACCGACGGCAAACCACGACGGTGAGGAGAAAGCTGCCGGAGATGAATGCCGCCGGACCGAGAGTCGTGAGAATATCTGTAACCGACGCCGAAGCAACCGACTCGTCGAGCGACGAAGAAGGATTGTTCAGACGTCAGAGAGTGAAAAGGTTCTTCAACGAGATCATCATCGAATCGTCTTCGAGAGAGAACCTGAATGTCAATAATAGACCAGCAACGAAGACGAATCGCCGGAAAAAGTCCACCGGAAAAATTCAAACTCCGGCGAATCGATCGGAGAAGAAGTTTCGCGGCGTGAGGCAACGGCCGTGGGGAAAATGGGCGGCGGAGATCAGAGATCCGTCGAAACGTGTACGGCTGTGGTTAGGGACTTACGAGACAGCCGAAGAGGCAGCCAGGGTTTACGACCACGCGGCGATTCAGTTGCGTGGACCTGACGCGCTCACCAACTTCGTCACTCCTCCGGCGAAAATCGCTCGGGAAATCACGCCGGTGTCAGTTTCCGATTACAATTCCGGCGATGACAAGAACAATCTTCCCTCTCCGACGTCTGTTTTACGATTCCACTCTCCGACGAACGAAGAAGCTGAGTTGTCGCTGAGTGACTCAGTCATTGCACACTCTCCTGCCAACGAAGAAGCTGAGTTGTCGCTGAGTGACTCAGTCATTACAAAATCTCAACATTTCACATGCGATGACGTATCCGGATCAGAGAACTTTCACGATATCTCGGCGCTCGATTCCATGCTTCCTGATTCACTGTTTGATTTTCAAGATCCGGTGCCCGAGTTGTTCGAATGGTCGGGTTTACGAGACAATGAGTTCGGGTTCGGGATCGATACAGTTCTTCCTGATTCACTTTGCAATTTTCAAGACCCGGAACGGTTATTTGGATCGGGTGATGACTTCGGATTCGGACTCGACCAATCACCTATGGATGATTATTTTCAAATCGACGATTATATCCAATTCCAAGACATAGGTGGCGATATATTGGGATCAGATTCTCCTGTTGCGATATGATTCAGAGTAAACCACAATTTTTCCAGATATTTTGATCGGTTGGAATTAAGTTATCAGCTTTTGTTTTTATTTTTATTTTTATTTTTATTTTTGGTGGCTTGAGTTTTGTTTATGTTTTTATTTGTTAATTTATTAGTTTAGAAAAACGAACTCCGTCGTATTAACGGTGACGGACGAGGATTTGAGTACGTGCCTTTTGTTAAAGGGACGTGGTTTTTAGTCATGGCTTTGGAAGAGACTTGAATTGGGTGAGAGAATGAAATGTAATGAATGCAAAGGCATACTAATGCAAGTGTATGAGTAAATGAATTTGGCACTCTCAATTAATGATTTGTCGAGTTTTAAGGTCTCAATTTCAAATATTTTCATTTGAAAAAAACTCAAAATATTTATAATCACTCAAAATCTAATATTATAGGTTGTAGAGTCTCAAAACCATTACATAATTTTTAATAAGAAAAAAATTGAGAGCTCTAGAGAAGAGCTGACCACCACCTGAACCACTTAAGATATGAGATATTTGTTTGTGTGTGTGTATTTTTTTTTTTTTTTTTTTTGACCACATCATTAAAGTTTTAAATTTAGAACTTATCATTTCTCTTTTTTATAATATTTTGGGTTGGACAATCCAACTTGGACCTGGTACAAGGCATGTACCATTTGCCATTAAAATCAATTTAATTGGTGTAGATATAACTACTACATTTTTTTATTATTCTTCTTTTTTTAATTTTTTTTTTCCAGTAGTACTACTCAAAAAATTATTTAAAAAGGTTTATAATGCTATATTTTGCAACAAAACAAAACAAGATGTTTCACCCACACAACATCGGCAACGTCAACAACATTAGCAACACAGTACTGGAACATCAATCATGCCAAAAACAATATCAGCAACATCACCAACATCACAAAACAACATCAGCAACATCACAAAAACAACATCAACATTAACATTAGCAACATCAGTAGCAACATCAACATTAGCAACATCAGCAGCAACATCATCATCACAAAACAACATCAACAACAAACACAGTAGTTCACGATCACACCAATCCTATTCCTCGATTAATATCAACTAATACCAAATAGCTTTGATGTTTCACCCACATTGTGAACGACGCCTCCGACAGGCTAACGTAAGGTCACTGGTGTTCCGCCGACAACGTTAATCGCAGGCCAAAATACTCCCACGCTCACGTCGTTTCGCAGATGCAGCTTTGGTAGAAAGGGTTTTCAAATGTTAGTGTTTTGATTGGGTTCACTAATGTTATTCACGAAAATGAAATTGAATAAACGCGATTAACATCAACTAATACCAAATAACTTTGATGTTTCACCCACAAACGTAAAGGATACATCACGTAACACCTCAATTTCAAACCAATCCGTTATGGAAAACGAACCCACTCTTACATCAAATAAAAACCCATACCTTGCGCCATGTTCTCCACAATCGTTTTCCGTGGACGGCAATGTCTAGCTGTCAGCTACACTGTTGGAGATATGATCCAAACTTTGGTTAAACCCTTTCCAACGTCGCCCGCGACGTATTTTGGAGGACAGATGTAATCAACTGTTGGATTGGGTAACTAGGGTTTACAAACGTAGTGAACTATTAATTTCATCAAACAACATCAATGTTACCAAACTCAAATCAAAATCACACCAAATCCGCGCCAGAAAACATTGAAACATCGGATTCGATCGTCCAAATTCACACCAAATCCAAAACTAGTCCGCATTCACCATTACGGATTCGATCGCCCCAATTCACTGTTGGACTTTTCCGTAAATTGCACATAAACACTGCCCCAAATTAACCCTCACTTTTCGAACCCCACGCGCCCAAATCATGGGTAGTCTTGTCTTTACACTTAAAATAGGACCTTTCAGTTCTTCAAAAAAACGTCAGGACTAATTGGTCCAACATTCCCAATATTAGGATTTAGTGGTGCTTTGCCCCTTTATATAATACATTTTGAATTTTCGTCACGCATTTCAATTCTTGGCATAAATCTTAGAATAAATGTGATGGATTTTAAAAATAAATAAATAAATAAATAAGTCTCAGAATAAATTTTGGATTCCTAGACTAATTTTTTTTTTGATGAAGTTATATGAATGGCAGTCGTGCTCTTCTGAGTTTTATAGAATGATAGTGCTATATGTATCAATTTGTGTACTAATAAGTATTATTTCATTATTATTGACCCCACCTATTATACAAATTATAAATACTTAAAATCCCTAAAATTATGCCACATCATCTGTTAGTAAACTAGGTAGTACACTAATTGATACATATAACATTATTCTTTATAGAAACCAAAAACAAAAATTGAATTTAAGTCTGGCTTATTTTTCCTACGAAGTAAAATATCATAAATACGAGCGTGCCAACAAGGATTGAAAAATCCTTACAGATTAAATTCAAGCCAATTATCAAGCGATTGCTTTGATAGTTCTTTTGCTTCAACAAAGAGGACTTCAAAATTGCCAAGCGTAGAGAAAAGAAAAATTAAAAGAAGAATGAGGGAGACGGAGAAAGACGATTGAGTGAACAATCAAAGTAATAATTACTTACCTCTACTCCTATGCTTCGAAAATGAAGTGCATAAAATGCTTCGAAATGGAAATGCTAAAAATAAATGTTTCAAAATATAAATCTATGTTAAACTACTCCTAAGATAAGGAAAATGACAAGAAATATTGAAATCAATTGTCTTTGATAATGAATTCTGGATCTTTATAATGTAGCCATTAATGGCTATTTATAGAGGAAAAAATACAACAATAACTACTTAGTAACTATCAATTTCTTCCATCTCCATTCTTGTCTTGCCATGTGTCCTTCCACTCATCCACTTTATCCTTCATATTCTCCATCATCTCTATAACTTCTTTTAACTTCCAAATGAATAAGAGGACTAATCTAAGCAATAAAGTGCTTCGAATAATATCAACAAAGTGCTTCGAATAATATAATAGCACCAATAAACTGCTTCGAATGAGCATGAAATTATGACTAGATGTTGCGAGTTATATATATACGCATTGAAGGGATATTATTGCAGAAAAGTTTCGAAGGATAATCACATATTTTCAAGACAAAGCCAACAATTCACCTTAGTAAACTGTTACACATGCTAAATAACCAGCTTCGAAGGTGGTATAGAGGACTAAAATTATCATTCGAAGATCGAAAATGCCAACAAATGACTAATTACATCCTTGGAAATACTCGGCAAAGTTTCGAAGGTTCACAACTATCACTATTTTTTCTTCGAAGCTATTGTTGATGCAAGATGGAGTGCTTCGAAACTTACAAAATTATGGCAAAAAGGGACTTCGAAACAACTTTTGGCCAACATTGTGGTTATTCAAATTTTGTATGTTCTGGTTCATACATAATTAATGAAAATATTAATTTTGTGCTTCGAACCAATTATTAATTCTTCGAAGACACCAAAACTATTGTTCTTTGAATCAACTTATCATGTCAAAATAGGCATTATTCGACAACTAATTAATTGTCATTTTACATATATTTGAAGAGAGGTACACATTTCGAAAGTTTTCTCGCCCTATGTTACATTTCGAAGGTGTTTATGGATAACGAAACCACCATTCGAAAGTCACATATGTTACTAAAGGATCAAAGTCATCATTCGAAAGTGCTCACGACATCTCTTCATACCAAATCCAAACAGTTGGATTACTATGAAATTAGTTTGGCATTTTAGCAAGCCATTAATAGCTATAAAATGATATTTCAATAAATAACATGCTTCGAAGTGTCTTGGGACATACTTCGAAGGTAACCACAAAACCAAATGATAATGGTTTTATGGATTAACCATATTTTTTGCCCGATATATTTCAATAACAAAATATTATTTGCTAGCCATTCCATCAAAGTCAACGTTTGATGTGATCCACAAATCCAAAATAAATTTTGAACAACAAAAGTCATGGTATAGCGTGACCATGAAAATTCATACTTTTTGATATTTTGAAAATTTTCAAAAATTTTGAATTCATGAACAGTGATTTGTTCATTATTCTTGACCATGTTTGGTTTAAAAACATGATTTTCGCCAAATTGATTTTTATAATTCTTTGGCAAAGTGGGTTGTTTTTCCATGTTAGCCATTAATGGCTTATGAAAATCCCTCATAAGAATGTTATTTTCATGACTTGACTCTCTAAAAATTGGTTTTTGGACCCCCTGAGCCATATATGAAACATCATTCTTAGCCAAATTTGGCTCAAAAATATACTCTTTCGTTATGTTAATTTCATAATTTGACTCTTTAAAAACGGGCTTTTGAACCCCCCGAGCCATTGATGAAATCAACTCTTTATTTTTACTATTTTCAACCATGAAAAAATTCTGAAAAAAATCACCAATTCCAACCATGAAAGCCTCAGTTAAAGACTTGGTAGTGAGAGTTGACAATTTATCGTTCCATTGGCAAATTTCTATATCAAATTCATGAATTTCTCCAATTAAATCATGTATTTTTTCTTCCACCAAATAATATTGTAATGGATAGAAGTTTGTTTCACAAATAAAATGGATCTCTTCTTGAAGATCCAAAATTTTTTGTTTACGCCAATAGATTTCATCTAGGTTATTTGAAATGGACGAATCCAATTCATTTTTCATTTCTTACACTTGACGTCCCACTGGGCGTGCCAAAAATTGTTGGCTTATTTTTCCTACGAAGGAAAATATCATAAATACGAGCGTGCCAGCAAGGATTGAAAAATCCTTACAGATTAAATTCAAGCCAATTATCAAGCGATTTCTTTGATGGTTCTTTTGCTTCAACAAAGAGGACTTCAAAATTGCCAAGTGTAGAGAAAGGAAAATTAAAAGAAGAATGAGGGAGACAGAGAAAGACGATTGAGTGAACAATCAAAATAATAATTACTTACCTCTACTCCTATGCTTCGAAAATGAAGTGCATAAAATGTTTCGAAATGGAAATGCTAAAAATAAATGTTTCGAAATATAAATCTATGTTAAACTACTCCTAAGATAAGGGAAATGACAAGAAATATTGAAATCAATTGTCTTTGATAATGAATTTTGGATCTTTATAATGTAATCATTAATGGCTATTTATAGAGGAAAAAATACAGCAATAACTACTTAGTAACTATCAATTTCTTCCATCTCCATTCTTGTCTTGTCATGTGTCCTTCCACTCATTCACTTTATCCTTCATATTCTCCATCATCTCTATAACTTCTCTTAACTTTCAAATGAATAAGAGGATGTCACGTGTCTTGAAAATAATAATAATAATAATAATAATAATAATAATAATAATTGTAGATT